ATATCTATAAACCCTTTGGGCTATTCCATATTGTGATCTCGACACTGGCGATTCACTCAAGTGCTTACTCTTCACACTTACGCTATCTCTATATGCAAACGATCAGTAAATTAATAAGGCAAATGACTTTATATGAAAATGTCACATTGATTTTCAAATGAAATAAAATTATATAACATCGATATACTGTACTTCATTTACTTCATGTGATAAATACAAAAAAAAAAGGCCATAAATAATTTAATCATAACGCATTACTGTGTTCCTTTATAAGGAAAGATATTTTTTGAGAAGAATACATGTACAATATAAATTCTAGGAGTGCAATTATAAAGTCAGAAAAATCCCTGTCCGCCTTCAAAAATAATTACCCAAATACAACAATTTGAAATTTGAACATAATTATTAAATCATAATTCGTCATGAATAAAAAAAAACACTTCATAATTTTACTTGTATTTTTTTTCATTATTCACGTTGAAAAAACTCATGGTTGTCATCCTATGGGTAACGGCTGGGGTAAATTGATTTTCTAATTCATGACGATGATAATTCTTCTGGTAAAAAAAAAAAAAAGTATCAATCTTTTTTTTTTTTTAGGAGGTGGTGCTGAGGTTACAGATGCCAATTTGTTACCAAATTCTATACTTAACATCACAGTTAAAGCTCCCAATACGAGTGTTAAAGCTCCCGATACGGGAACAGGTGGGATAGGTCACTTTACCATGAGTATTGATGGTTTGAGAGATAGGATTAGATTTCTTAAAAATCCTATATGGGTTGAGGGTTGTAGTTGTAGTAAATGCGAAAATATGCCTCTGTCATACACATCCCACTGGGCATTTCCTGGACCAGCACCTCCAAAAGGTACTTATTTTGATGTTTGGATTGCAGTATATTGGGAGTGTGATGGTAAATTATGTAATAGTGAAAATATACACCATCGAGATTATGTCAAATAGAAACCAATATTTTTTTTCTTAATTTTTAACTATATTTAGTTACCATCATATTATAGTTTCATCCACCTGTTGCCCCAAGCTGTTGACAGCGTCGTGGCATTTTTATATTAACTTATAGATGATTGATTTTTTATTTAAAATAAAATCAACATTGCTGAACATTATTGATACAATAGTAGCGTCATGCATCGCAAAAATAAATACAAATTGTCCTTTTTTTTTCATTACATTCTCTTCATTTCGAGAACCTGAATCCGGTTTCTGCACCTCCTCTAACAACCATACAATATGACCAAGAACTTTCCTAACTATGTTTTCCAGTCAAGGTGCCCTCATACATCCTTCTGCAATGAATTATAGGGTTTTTCTTCCTTGGCAAGTTTTCGAATAGTGGCAAGCGATGCGTGCGTTCAGAATGGATATAATGTAATGAATTCACAACAAATTAGATCAAATGTCATAATCCGAATTTTTATGCGTTTTCTTCCCGCTACTTAAATAATAAGAATAACCAGCATCATCATCGTCAGAAAACATTGCACCCACATCATCATTTTCTTCTTCATTATTACTTTCGTTATTTTCAGAGGGATCCGAGTTGAAACCTGAATAATCAGAGATGATTTTCTGCATCATATACCGCATTTCGTGTATAACTTGGTTGGAAGTACACATACCAATTAAGTCACCCCATACAAAATGGTCATTTGGATTTCACTGGGTTAGGGAGACTTTTTTCTATCCATGACTGTTCCATTAATAGTAAGCTTTAATGAGGACTTTCTCGCACCTGGCTCTTTTGTGGTTTCACTATCTGTATTACGAATTTTTACTGATTCCAATTCTTGAACAAATAAGAGAGGGCTTTCTACAACTGGAAATTCATTGTTGGGAGGGCGGATCATAAAATCAAAAGACAGTGCTTTCTTTGGGGTATAATACTTTCTTTATTCGTATGTGTCCACCAGAATCTTTATCTATTTTTTATTCGCAAGGAGAATGATCTTTTGTTAGCAATACGTACAAGCTCGGTGAACAAATCACAGGCCATGATCTCATGCCAAAAGTTGAGATATGGAGAGACATTTTTTTCGGATCACTACGCATACTTCTTTACGTGTAAGTTTGGGTTCGATGCTATTTAATGTCTCTTGTGGTAAATCGAAATCGATAAATGGGCAAAGTGTGTCATTTCTGCCAATAAATTCATGTAATGAGTGCCCCCTACGATCTGACAGTATAGCCTTTATTCCATCTTCAGTATCTGTGCCAAGAAATTCTCTTGGATGCACACTATCATCGCGAATTTTATAATTATATTCGACTATGTCCTC